CTGTTCTGTGCCAGGTTCCAGCATGTGCACAATGGATTATTTGCTTTATGTGCACAATATTGTGGCCAAAATAATGTATACACATGTAAGTAAATGTAAAAATGATAAAATAAAATTGAAATTAAAAGTATTTTGTGGCCCTAATACTTTTCCAGCAACACAGGAGCTCATTCTTTGGAAAAGTCATTTTTCGCTTTCCATCAGAATGCCCTTAAAAACTGAAACTGCTTTCACCCAGCCCTACCCACTACATGGAAGATAAAATGGACCAATATTTTTTCTTAGATGTTTTGGAGAAGTCATATTAACTCTGAAACAATATCACCTACTATCTCACTAAGGGTTTTATCTTCACTCATGTTTTCTCTTTTAAATCCAGTAGATACACAAGAAGGATTTAAAACATACTCCATAAAAAATAGTATCACAATGCTTATTTTGAAGATATGGCAGGAGAGAGAGAATGATGAAGGGCATTATATTCCAAAACACGATGATATCTCCTATATAGAAACAAACCATATATTACATTAATTCTGAATAAGTGGAATTCATCTGCTTCACTTTAAAAGCTAATAAACTGTTAGAGCTTTCCACATTAGAGTCTTCATATAAACAAGTTGACAAATGAGACAAAAAGCCTTGTTAGACTATGTATCTTGATTTTGTATTCAGCTATACACTAAATATTACTTTGGATAACACTAGAAAGACAAGCATGCAAACAAATAGGAACTGATTTCATTTTCTTCTATCCCTGGAATGTCAAAGTGAGACAAGAATTAATTGCAGGCCAGGATCTCCTGGAGTGTAGCTTACAGGTGTTGGGAGCAAAGAGGAGGAGAGGATTTGAAGATGTCGGGGTGTGGGGAACAGTGGAAAGAATCAATGGTGGAAGTTTGAAAACTTCGGGGAGACCTACTCATTGGGGAGGAGGGCGGGCTGAGCAGGTTCCTTGGCTGGTGGGTTCCAGTGAGCTGAGGCAGGTGCCCTGGCCCTGCTCTGTGAAGTGCTGGTTTGTGCACAGACACAGAGACTGTTTTGGGCAGTGGATCCCACCAAGCCTGGCTCCCCACCTCCTGGGCTGGCTCTGGCTGTCAAGGGCCCTGCAGGGAGTTGAGGGAGGGCAGCGGGTGGGGGTGGGGCAGGGGAGTGGATGGCAGGTGGAGGGAGGTGGGCCCTGCAGAGCTGGGGGGGGGGTGTGTGTGGAGGGGGGTCGGAGCTGGGCTCCAGGTCCCTGCAGGCCACCCAAGCCTGGGGGACTCCTGGAGAAATGCAGAGAAGAGGAGGGCTCCTGGTGCTCTTGCTCTGGGAGAGAGGCAGAGGGTCCTTCTGGGCAGGCCAAGTCTGGTGTTTGGGACGTTTACCGACCCCCGCCCACCCCCCCTCCGCCGTGCGCCGTGCAGCTGGGCTCTCGGCAGCGCTTGAAGCTGTCTTCTGACAGGCTTGTCTTTTTTAGGCTGCCTGCCGGCCTCCTGCGGGAGTCCCCCCTGGGGCCTTTGCCGCCCTGAGCGGCCAGGCATCGCGGGCGCGCACGCGCGCGCACACGGAGGACCCGAGAACCGACCAGCCTCGCGGGTGAGTGAGCAAGGGGACCCGGCCGGATGGGCTGCAGCAGCCAGGGCTTGGGGCCTCGGCGCTGTGGAGTGGGCCACTGGTGGGGGGAGGACGTTCGGGCAGCAGCTCGGTGCGGCAGCGCCACCGCCGCTGGGAGACCCGTGCTGGCTGGAAGGCGCCTGCGCCCGCCTGGGCGGTGGCGCAGCTCCCTAGCGGCCGGCCCGGGACGGGGGCGGCGGCGGCGGCAGCGGCTAGGCAGGCGCTTCAAGGCGGTGGCTTGCCTCCGGCCAGGGGTTTGTGTCAAGTCCCCCCGTATTCGGTATTCGGAAGCCTGTCAACCTCCAGGTGAGTTCCCTCTCCTAGCTTGCTTGTTTGCCTGCTGGCTTTCCTGGCTTGCCTTGGCTTGGCTTGTGATGGGTGCCTGGGCTCCCTGGGCTCTTGTTCCAAAGGGCAGGAGGCTTTGGTCTTGTTCGCCTTGCTCTGTAGTCTGTCCGTGTTTCTAACGGGCTTGGCAAGCTGGGGGAATGGTGAAACTGGCTTGACTTTGCTTCCTGGCACACTTGTGCCTTTGGATGAGATGTTGGTTTGTGTGAGGGGCAGAGAAATGGGTTTGCGATCAGGGCCAGGCATTTTGTAGCTTGGCTGTCTATTCTTGCAGGGGAACCCCTTAGACCTTTTAGGGTCGTGTTAATTTCTCCCGGACAACCTTCTTTCTTTCTTTATGCGTTTGGGTCTTTGTGTATTTCTGTAACTCGGTACGTAGTTGTAAACATGTCTGTTTTTGTTTTGATTGCTATGTCTCTGAAGTATAGTTTGAAGTTGGGTATTGTGATCGCTAGTGTTGGCTCTTAATGGTCTTTTGGGCTTTCAAATGAACTTTTGGGTGATTTTTCAATCTCTCTGATGAATGTCTTTTGAATTTTGATGCGGATTGCGTTGAACATGTAGATTGCTTTTGGTAATATAGCCGTTTCACAATATTGACTCTGCCAGTCATGAGCATAGGAGACCTTTCTATCAGTTTTAGCTGACTTTGATTTTTTTCAGTGGTTTATAGTTTTCACTTCACTTCCTTTGTTAAGTTTATTTTGGAAGCTATCATAAATGGAATTGTTTTCCTGTATTCTTTCTCCGTCTGCTCTTGGTTGGTATATACAAAGGCCAGTGATTTTTGTGAATTGATTTTGTATCCTTCTACATTTCTGAAGGTGGAGTTTTTTTTGGCCGAGTTTTCTGGTCTAAGATCATGTGATCTGCAAATAGGATAGTTTCATCCTTCTTTTCGTACTCGAATTTCTTTCACTTCTTCTTCCTATCTTACTGCTGTAGCTAGAAATTACAAGGCTATGTTGAACATTACTGGAGAAAGTGGAACCCTTGTCTTGTTCCAGACTTTAGAAGAAATTGTTTGAATTTTTCCTCCATTTAGTGTGACGTTGACTGTAGGCTTGTTATATATAGCCTTTGTTGTATGACTCACTTTCCTTCTGTTCCTAGTTTCATCAACAGTTTTGTCATGAAAGAATGTTGAATTTGTTGAGGGGTTTTTTCTGCATTTATTGAGATCATGTTTTTTTCTTTGTTTTTATTAAAATGCTAGATTACGTTTAGTGATTTGCATATATTGAAGCATCCCTGTATCCCTGGGATGAAACTGACTTGGTCATGATAATATGACCTTTTGATACGTTATCGAATTCAGTTCACCAGTATTTTATAGAGGATTTCTGCATCTAATTTCATAAAGTGATTGGCCTATAATTCATTTCTTTTTGTGCCTTTGTCCAGTTTGGGGATGAGGGTAATATTGGCTTCATAGAATGCCATTGGCACCATTCCTGCCCTTTCTGTTTCTTGGCAAAGATTGAGGAGTGTTGGTATTATTTCTTTAAACGTCTGGTAGAATTCAGCAGTGAATCCTGGATATTTCTTTTTGGGAGCCTCTATTGCTCCTTCAATTTCATTGCTTGTTACAGATACATTTAGGTGATTTGTGTCCTCTTGGTTCAATTTTGGCTGATTATACACATCTAGAAATTTGACCAGTCTTTTATTTTCCAATTTATTTGAATATAGGTTTTCAAAATACTCCAAAACGATTCACTGGATTTTCTTGGTGCTTGTTGTGATTTCCCCTTTTTCACTTCTAATTTTATTAATTTGGGTCTTTTCCCTCATTTTAGTCAGATTTGCTAGGGGTTTATCAATGTTGTTTATCATAGGAAACAACTAGATTTTTCTTTCAGCCGTTTTTTTGTTCTCTATTTCATCAATTTTGGCCCTTATTTTTATTGATCCTGTCTTTCTAGTTGTGGGTTTAGTTTGTTGCTTTTCTAGAAGTTTGAGATACAGCGTTAGGTCATTGATTTGAGATTTGCGTTTTTAATATACGCATTCGTGACTATGAACCTTTTCCCTTAGCACACTGAGTTTGCTGTGTCCTGTAGGCTCTGGTAGATTGTGCTTTCATTTTCTTTTCTTTTGTTGTGCTTTCACTTTCATTAAATTCCAGGAGCATTTGATAAGGGACAAGAGGGAGAACATGAAGAGAGGATAGGAAAAGATGAAAAAAAAAAAAGGATGTCAGGGGTAAGGAAAAAAATGAAACAGGAGAGGAGGCTAAGGAAATTGAAATTTCAAAAGAATGGAAAAAGGAGGTTTAAGTATTAGATTTTTTTTTAATAATTAAATATTACATATACATCTATATTCACATAGAAATATTAATTGTCCAAGTTTCTTTTTTTTATGGGGGGGAAGTGGGTTGTTTCTCTGAGTTTAATGATTACACTGGGTGCTTCAGTCTGATTTCTAATGAGAGTTCTCCCATTTTAAGATTGATAGGTTGGGCTGTGTGGCATTTGATGGTGCCCTTCTCTATTAGACAGCATTCTTTTTTGGGAGGGGGGGTTCACTCAGGGTTTTTAATCTCAGGCTCTTCTTGGAGTTTAGCAGTCATGGTCAGCTTGTTTGATTAGCCACGTTCTCTAAAGAAGTTCCTAGAGGAGCTGATGTGTTAGCAATGGCTGCTCCCTTGTACCCGCAGGCCGGGTAACCACAGGAGCTGGAATTGAGCTGTTTGATGGGTCACTTTTCTTTGGGAAGCTTGTTAGTTTCAGCTTACTATCAGAGTTTTCAAGGTGGTAGAATGTGGTTTTTTACTGAGGATGTGACTGGGCCACACCTCACTCCCACAGGAAATGGCAGTGGAGTTGTGGATGATGTAATGTGACCTACACATCATTTTACCTGAGTTTTGGACTCTTGGTATCTAATAAGTCATGCTTGGCCTGTACATTGGTAGGAGAAACCCAGGGACCTCACCTTGATTAATAAGTGTCAGCAGGCTTTTCTTTTCTTTGGCTTGCTCTTTAATCTGCCCATGTTTATACAGTTGCCTGCTACAATGTGCCAGTTTATTTGGTTGAGATGAGGTCTAGCAATATTTTGCTCAGGGTGTCTTTGAACTGTGATCTTCCCAATATCTGTGTTTTGGTTAGGTGAAAGGTGTGAGCCCATGGACTGGACTTGTTTTTGAGGAGAGTTTTGCCCTGTAGGCTGGCCTGGAACTTGGGATCCTCATGCCTCAGAGCCTCTGAAGAACTGGGATTATAGGTGTGCTCCATCACACCTGGCTATAAGTGTACTTTTTATTCTGAGTTCTGTGGAGATTACTAGAAGACATGGTTAAACCTGTTTTAGAAGCAGTTAACTCATGTAATAAATATTTCTTGAGTGCCATACAGCAGTCATTATTTTACTTTTCTGTTAATAGATAGTCATTGTGGCCCTAGAGTTCTATGGTAGTAAATCCTTTCTCTAGAATGCAACACTTTTGTGACTCATATATTTTACATGCAAGGTGTTTTTGCATTACGTAAATGACCAGGTAATAGTCACTGCTCTTTAACTTTATTTACAATGAATTTTATGATGATACATCTTTTTTATCTCCTTCAATAAATCTAGGATCTGCTTTGCCTTACTGTGGCAAACTAGGGTTCTTACAGAATTTAGCATATAGTTTTTCATACTAAAGATAGGGACAGGATTTTAAAATTTAATGGAGGTTAGAAACATTACTTCTTTAATTTTCAAAAATTATATAGAGTATATTAGGTGTAAGATATATGTAAGGCACAGACTTCTTCTAAGTCATAGGTTGAAATAGTATATATCTTGCTTTTTAACTTGTTTTTTTCTGTTAACATTACATATTTCCTAGCTGTGTTCTGTATCAGCCATTTGAGGCACCCAGTCTTGAAAAGACTGCATATTATTTTATAATGAAAGTGTTCTATAAATTAACTGTGTTCTTACAGTTTCTTGGTGTTTGATACAGATACCTATTGCGATTAATGGTCCTTGAGAAGACATCTTTGTGCCAGAAGAAATACTGTCAAGGATTGGAATTCTAGAATTAAAAGGTAAAAGATAAACATGTTTACCTGTTTATAGTTTTTATAGTATCTGATAAATTGTTCTTCTCAAAGCCTACTGACTGCTTTATTACTATCAATTCTGCATGAGTGCCTGGTTTCCTAAGTCTTGCCAGTGTAGTTGCTTGCAGTCTTTTTAATTTTCATTTATTTCATTGATGAGTAAAACAGATGGCATTTGTCTTTAATTGGTACCGATACTATTCATTATCTTTGTAAATTACTTGTGTATGTGTTTTACTCATTTTCTGTCAGATTATTTGTATCCTATATACAGGGTGGCCTTTCTTTTTGAAGGACAAAAAGAAGATGTAGAACTTTGTCTCTAATAGTTTGTTGAGGCAACTATGTAGCTAAGGCTGGCCTTGAACTCACTCTGTAACCCAGACCACCCTGGATGTTTTGATCCTCTTGCCTCAGCTTCCCCAGTGATGAGCTTGCAGGGATAAGAGGGATTGCTAGTGCAGACCAGCACAGCTAGCTCTAATTTTAAATATTTTCATTTCCTTTATTGAGTGTTAGAGAAATAGAATATCTTGAGCGTAGTATAATAACCCATCAGGAGAGAGAGGCTAGATGGATCAGCTTCAAGTTATATGCACGTTTGGCAAGAGCAGCATAGACGACGGAGGCTGTATTCTTAGACTCAGAGGTGTAAAATGTTGAATTATCCTGTTACTCATCATGTTTACTTTGAACACTTAATTTCTGTACTTTTCACAGCCTCTCCTTGTCATTAATAAGTATTTGGGGGAGGTTAATCTGAGGTGATAGGACTAGCCTGCTGCTCAACAAAATTTAGTTGATTATTTATATTGGTATGGACTCAAAATTTCCTGTCTTACTTAATGGATTTTAATAAATAACTATCACTCCTGATTATGGGAGGCTCTTGAAGTTGGCTCTGAATCCTTTTCACACATCCCCATGCTTCTCTGAGAAGTTCTTTCTTTTTTTGAAAATTCATTTTTACTTTCTCTGCCTTAGTTGTGGAATCAGCCACTTCTTCAAGGAGCCCCAATTCCTCTTGGTGAAAAGTAGTTTTTAGGAGCAGTGTTCTCTGCTCATTTTTACTGGAGTTTTGCTGTTTTCTAGTGAGTGTATATGTAAGTACACACATACCCGCACATATTTGTAGTTCTATTTCTATATTCATTTATGTTGAAAATTATACTACCAGTTCTTGTCTGTCATCCAGGGTTCATTCTAATTTTCCTTCTCTATATATCCTACAGCAGTGAGTAACTTGGTTCTCATTATCCTTAATATATTTATTTAATTGATTAACCCTCCTCCCCCACACACTGAATGGGCCTCCTCCAATGTATATGCTCTTTTTATCCTGCTCCCACTTCTGCTCCCAAACATTCCTCAGATTGCCTGGAAGATCTGTTTGTCCCTTTCAGATGTGATGTCTTCCTCCTTGGTTCTGACTGATATTCTGCACTTGCAGCCTTCTTATAGATGCTCTTCTGACTGCTCAGGCTCTCAGTCTTCTCAGGCTCCAAGAACTTGAGCTGGATTTCTTCTCATGAGTCTCAGCCTTGCTGTAAATGCCCTTCTTCCTCTCAATCTCTAGCACCTTGCACCTGGTCTCTTTCCTGCAACTATGCCCTGTTCTTCTCACTCTGGCTTTGAGACTCTGAGGTTCTGTCTCTTCTCCACAATCCTTCACAGAAGTGGATACTTAATTTACTCTTATCAGGCTCTGTCATCCAACTCCAGGCTACTAAGATGCTTGTCCCTCTCTACCTCACATACAGATGCCTGCTCCTTCCAGCTTCACCTTCCAGCTTTTTGGTTGAACTGCTCAGGAATGGTAGAAGGAAAGGAAACAACCAATTTCTTTTTTTTAATGCTCCATCATTTGCCCTGTGAAGATTTTGCAGTAGATTCTGTTTTGTTGCTTTTGTGACAGGATCTCATTGTGTACTCCAAGTTGGCCTTGAACTAGGGATTCTCCTTCTTCAGCATTCTGAGTGTTGGGATTATAGGTATGACCCACCAAGCCTGGCTAAGATAGATATTTCTTATTAGATTTAAGAGTAAAGTAATCACATTCTACGAACCTTTGTAAAAATCACAATATACCCCAGCCAGCACAACAATAAAGGAAAAAAAACAGAGAGGAAAAACAAGTAGTCAGAAAAGAAAGGCAGCTTTCAGTATTTCCAAGTCTAAGAAAGCTAAGTATGAATTTATAAGGTTATTAAAAAGAGTAGAGTAGTCATATAAACCTAAGTAACTTAACCTTAGTCTCTACTCACATTAAAATGATGAAATCAGGACATTATAAATATCCATTGTGTTACATTTTATTTTGAACTTGCATTTATTTAGTTTGTTGTATTTTTTTATTTTTATCATTGAAATAATGATGTTTTAATAAACCTCATTTATTCAATTAACTTCTCCCCCCTTTCCATGATTCCTCTTGCAATTATATGAATCACTGATTCTAAATTTGACCTTTGGCATCTTTTAGGCCTATAGATGCTGAACTAGAAAAATACCCAGTAATGGATCAAAGGAAGATTGACAATATTGTCCCCAAATCACTCAATTCCAGTGTTGTGTGGCTCATTATTGGTAAGTAGAATATGTTCTCTTGTACTTTGTTATATATTCCATGTGGATTAACAACTGTGAGATTTTAAGCAGTGATTTACCAAACTTGGAATGCTTATAATGCCATTTATTTATTTTTAGGAAATATTTTAATATATCTCTGTTTTTGAATATTGGCTCTGGAGACTGCTCTGGAATGCTCTTTACATTTTCTTAATCACTTCCTTAATTGACTTAGCAAAAGTGGGAAGAGAAAAAAAATAAATAGGTTATTTTTCCTGTTTCAGATCACCTTCCCACTCCAACCCCAACATACATCCAAAGAGTTTTGTTTGTTTTCTTTAAAATGTAATAAATTGTCATGGTAAGTATATTTTTACATTAAATAGAATGAAATCATTCAAAAAACAGTAAAGAGGGGACAGGGAGGAAGGCAAAAAGCAAATGACTGAATATGAAAGAGAAGAAGAAATACAATAATAATCCTAGGGAAGGAAGAGACTCATCATAGGCTGTTATTGTACAGGAAATTTTTATGAATGAATGGTGTTTGATCTGAATTTTGGCATAGGAACTTGAAATGTGCAAAGGAAAATGGGACAGGTAAGAAAGGAAAAAGAGTAGCAATACTTCCTGAACATCTCTGTGTAGTAGATACCATATAAAGACATTTTGTATATATGTTGTCTCAAGGCTCAGAGCAACCTTACAAGAGGGTAGGCTTTATTTTTTTTCCTCTTAACATATTGGACAATTGAGGCCCACATGTAGGTTACAAAGGTGATTTTTTCTGAGTTCAGGGCACAATAGGATATGAGAGAGGAGTGATACAGGGACAGGTGAAGTGTATACAATAACCCTCATTCCTAAGAGCCAAGTCCTTTTGAGTTCAGTCTTAGCTTTCACATACTAATTTCACTTTGAGCCAGCTTAATAATTCTGCCTCTGATTTAGTTTGTAAAGTCTAGCTAGTTTGTTCCTTTGAGATGAATTTACTTTAGGACCATATTTTCCTCTACATGTCATGTTCCTGTTAATCTCACAGACTGTTAGATGATTGGCTCTTCTAACTTAACCTTCCCCCCCCCCATGTTTAATTATCAGTTTTATGTTTAGTTAACATAAGATTACACTGGAGCTGATAGAAAAATCTTGTGTGTATACGTATAGCTGATTTATGGTTTAAATAGTAAAAGTTAAATTTTCTATGTTTGTATTAGCAATTTTGTTCTAAATTACTTTCAGTGTCTAAGGATGTCATGTGAGTAGATAAAACTGCAGGGTGTTGGTTAGAATGCTTTGACCTGATACTCCCCACTCTGTGCTGTTTACCCAGGATTCAATTGAGCACAGTTTGTAAGATTTGATCTCAATACCCCCTTTCAAGTTGAAAATAACTAATATTTTCAAAACTCTTCATTTTTCAAATAAAGAAATAAATTCCTATGATTGCAACTTGTAGAGCCAGAATGCAAATCTAGGTCTGATGACATCTAGTCTAATTCCCTTATATTATAAAACACCCTTGTATAAACAACTCACATAGGTTTTGAAATTCTTATAAATACTAACTGCAGTGTCCTGTGGGAATTAAACATCTTCAGTATCCAGAGCAAACTGAAAGTTTCAAATTAAAGCTAAGCTAAAGGACTAGCAGAGTAGCTTCAGCAGTAAGAGTGCCTGCCTAGCAAGTGTAAGGCCCTGAATTTGAACCCCAAAACCACAAAAAAAATAAACCTAAGCTTAACAGTATTGCCCATGGTAGAGTTTTCATAGACATGTAGACCGCAGCCATTTTAATTTCTCCTCCTCTATTGTCATGTATCAACCCCAGGGCTTCTTTGTTTGTTAGACAGTGCTTTCTCATTGACTTACACCTCCAGCCCTGAGGACTACAGTGAAATTATTTGCAATAAAATAGTTACTTCATTTGAGATTCAGATATTCCCTTTCCTGGCTCTTTGCCCCCCCCCCCACCACACACACCTTTATTTTGTTTTTGTACTGGGATTGAATTCAGAGGCCTCAAGCACTCTCTTACTTGAGTCACACTGCAGCCCTTTTGCTTTCATTTTTTAACATTTTTATTACTATATGATAATTATACAGGGAATTTCATTGTGACATTTCCATATATACATGTATTGTAGCCCGTTTTGTTTCTAAGACGCTCTATTACTCTTCCTCACCCTTTCCCCCCATTCTGTATCATTCAGCAGTTTTCAGTGTGTTTCCTTGTGCCTTATTCCTACACAGGTGTGATGTATTTCAATATTATTCAATATTATTCACTCTCTGTTATTCTTTTCAGTTCTTTTTATACTCAACCTCCTCTTACAGCCCCACTTTTGGAAAAATGTTTTATATATATTCATATACATATATATGTACATATGTATAATAGAGCTTGTATTTTCGTTTGGATCTGTCTCCCGTATATAAGAGAAACCACACCACATTTTCTGAACCTGGCTTACTTCACTTAACATGATGCTCTCCAGTTACATCCATTTACCTGTGAATTACAAACTTTCATTCTCCTTATGGCTGAATAACTTTCCATTGTGTATATACATTAATTCTTTAAAGGTCTGGTAGAATTCAGCAGTAAGTGTATGGGGTACTGGGTTTTTCTTTTGGGGGAGACTATTGCTGCTTCAATTTCATTGCTTTCAACTGAGCAATTTAGGTAGTTTTTATCCTCTTGGTTTAATTTTGGTTGGTCATAGGCATCTGGAAATTTATCCATTTCTTCTAGATTTTCCAGTTTATTTAAATGTAGGTTTTCAAAGAATTCCCTAATGATCCCCTGGATTTCATTAGTACTTGTGATACCTCTTTTTCATTTCTTACTACTTCGTGTTCTTTCTCACCTCCTTTTAGTCACATTTGACAAGTATTTATCAATCTTATTTATCTTTTCAAACAACCAAGTTTTTGTTTTGTTGATAATTTGTAAAGATTTTTGGTCTCTATTTTTTTTTATTTCAGCTCTTATTTTTATTATCTATTTCTGCTGCTTTTGTGTTTAGGTTGGTTTTGTTTCCTAGGAGTTTGAGATCCAGCATTAATTCATTTATTTGAGATCTTTCTGTGTTTTCAATGTAGGCACTCATAGCTTAAACATTTACCTTAGCACGGACTTTTTTATATCCCATAGGTTCTGGTAGGTTGAAGTGTGATACTCCTGATCTCTGTCTCCTGAATAGGTAGGATTGCAAATGAGAGCCCTAGTGCCTGGCTACCAGGTAGTATTTTGTATTGGTAGTAGAGTAGAAGTCATATTTAGAGCATAGATAGCAGAAACAAATATGAAGGAATTCTAAATAGAGCATGGTGGAAGTTAAGGACCATCTTTTGCTGCCCTTCTGCATTTCCCTGAGTAGTTCTTCAGGCTTTTTTTACTGCTTGCACAGGCAATAATTTACCTAGTAAATTTTCAGAATTTGGAATTTGACTTTAGGTATGTCTTTTCACAGTGGTTAGGAATAGTGAACTATCCTCGTCAGTGGTATTTATGATGAGGTTTATGCAACATTCTGAGTTCTGAACTATTTTTTTTCTTGGCAAGGGATAAAAGCAAAATACACTTGTATCCAATATAAAGCTTGAATTTTTCTATTTACATTTCAAAATTATTTAATAAAATTCATTTTTATAAAATTCTGTGGTATTATGTATAAAAATGATTTTCTTAAATTTTTTTCAGGTCAAAATATCTGAGGATTTTCTAACAACACAGGGACATCAGAATTGCATTTTGTTTTGTGTGTCTGGTATTGGGGTTTAAACTCAGGGCCATTTGCTTGCTAGCAGATTCTCTACAACTTGAACCACAGCGTTTTTTTCTGTTTTTAATAATTTTTCAAGTGGAGTCTCATGATTTTGCCCAGTGCCAGCTTCAGATCATGATCTTTTCTACCTACAGCTCCCTGTGTACCAGAGATCACAGATACCTGCCACCATTCCTGGCTTATTGATTGAAGTAGGGTCTTTCAAACTCTTTGCCTGGGCTGCCCTTGAACCATGATCTTCCTGATCTCCACTCCCTGAGTAGCTGGGATTACAGACATGTGCCACAGCTCCTGTTCTGCATTGTCTTTTTAAAATTAAATATCAGGAGTCCTTGCTTTTCACAATAGTGTGGTACCATAACAATGATGTAACAAGCTGAAATTGTGATATGATTTTAAAAGTCATTTGTTTTGAGAACTTGACAAATGCTTGTCAAAACATTACTGCTTATTTTTAATGTTTATGAAAATGGAAAAAGTAAAACATATTTTACAAACATTGAAAATTAAGCTGCTTTATATCTTTGTATAGAGAATACAAAAAAGTAGTTGAATAATTATTTCCTACTTGTCATATAACTTACCATACAGAATGAGCCTATTTTCTGAGCATTGGCAAAATGTCCAAATATCCCTAGTGTGGATCAGTTTCAGCATTTTATATTTTATAATTTCAACATCATGAAGTACCTTCTTTTTACCTTGACACTTTTGTCATCATCACTTCCACTGGGAGATCATCACCCTTCCATGTCACAGCACTTTCCTCTGTAGTCATTAAGTTCCCCTTCACTGAGCCCTGGCTGAGAGTCTCCTAAAAAGTGAAAGAATTAGCATTTCCATCGTCAGCTATTTCTTCTGCACCTCCATGTATGTTCAATTGAATTTTACTACTAGTGTTATCACTTTTTATTTCTTTGCTTAATTTTCATCTTTGCTGTCCAATTTACTCTTTTGATTCTCCATTTTTGTGAAATGTCATGAAGATTTATCACTGGGAAATAAGGGTACAACACAGCTAACTACATGCTTTGCTGCCTCAGTGATGTGTAAACTGACTCAACAACTCTGCCTTAAAGATTTTCAGACTTTGAATGAAGTGATGTTATTGGGTAATGATTTTAATATTTTTAATGTAGTGATTTGTGGGCTAGAGAACTGGTGCCAAGTTTGTGCTTTGTTCACAGTAACATTAGTTAACAATTTTAATCATGTTGTTAGGGAATT